ATCGAAATCATACCAGGAAGCTCGATTCCTAAGGGGCCTATATATCGGATGTCACCTAAAGAATTAGATGAACTGCGAGCCCAGCTTGATGAGTTGCTGGAAAAGGGGTGGATCAGACCTAGCTCCTCGCCCTACGGTGCGCCTGTGCTATTCGTACCAAAGAAAGATGACGGGGTACGCATGTGTATAGATTATAGAAGACTTAATGATATAACAGTTAAAAATGTTCAGCCATTACCAAGGATAGATGATTTGTTGGATCGAGTGCAGGGTAGCAAGTACTTCACTAAGATTGACCTAAAGTTTGGCTATCATCAGATTGAGGTAGAGCCGGAAGACCAATACAAGACTGCCTTTCGAACAAGGTACGGGCACTATGAGTTCGTGGTGTTGCCCTTTGGTCTTACAAATGCACCAGCAACCTTCCAAAGAACAATGAATGAGCTTTTCCGCGAATGGCTTGATAAATTTGTGGTTATATGTCTCGATGATATTCTGATTTTTAGTAAGGATTTAAAGGAACATTGCGAGCACCTTCGACTTGTGCTAAATAGGTTGCGTGAAGCAAAATTGAAGTTAAACCCGAAGAAGTGTGATTGGACTAAGCGTCAGGTTTTGTATTTGGGGCATGTGCTTGATGGTGATGGTATCAAACCTGAGGATACAAAAATTGCAGCAATTCGGGATTGGCCTAACCCCCGCACTTTGACTGAGTTGCGGTCGTTCCTTGGGCTGGCCAACTATTATCGGAAGTTCGTTAAACACTTCACGATAATTGTTGCGCCCCTTCGCAGATTGCTTAAGAAAGAAACTATCTGGAAGTGGGATTCAGATTGTACGGCTTCGTTCAAGCGCCTAAAAAAATGTCTAATCAACTACCCGGTTTTGAAGGTTGTCGATCCTTCTTTGCCCTTTGTCGTCACAACCGACGCCAGTCAGTACGGGATAGGTGTTGTACTCCAGCAAGACGATGGGAATGGGTACAGACCTGTAGAGTTTATGTCCCGACGACTACCTAATGAGAAGGTCGCCGCTTCCATGTACGAGAGAGAGCTGTATGGTCTTCGGGAGGCTCTAGATTATTGGCGACACTATCTCTTAGGGCGCCACTTTAAAGTGTACTCAGATCATGAGACATTTCGCTGGCTTAAAACGCAGGCCCGGATGACACCTAAATTGACCAGATGGGCCGCATAAATTGATCAATATGACGTTGAATTAAAGCCAGTCAAGGGTAAGTACAACGTTGTTGCTGACGCGCTAAGTAGAAGATCTGACTTTTTCGGTGCCGTCGTAACATACTTAGATATGGGCACCGACTTGCAAGATAAAATTAGAAATGCGTATTCCACAGATCCTGTCTATGGCGCTATGATTAAACGTGTGCAAGAAGCGCCACATGAGTTTCCTCACTACCGAGTTACACAGGGACTGTTGTTTGAGCACACAGACGTGCATGACAGGCTTTGCATTCCAAATGTGGAAGAAATCAAAAGCTTGATCTTGGGGGAATGCCATGATACCGAAGGCCATTTCGGCTGGAAGAAGACTTGTGCAGGCCTGTTGCGTTCCTACACCTGGCCTCGCATGAAAGCCAACTGCATTGCATATGTGCAAGGTTGTCAAGTGTGCCAAAGAAACAAAAGCACTACTCAACCTCCCCTTGGGCTACTAAAGCCTTTGCCGATTCCAACAGGTCCCGGAGACTCCGTATCCATTGATTTTATGGACACCAAGGTGAAAAGCAGCAATGGAAAGACGCAAGTCATGGTCATCGTTGACAAATTTAGTAAGTATGTTATTCGTAGCATTACCCGCGGAAGCAAAGACCGAATTAGTAATCCGGAAATTCTTTAACCCTTGGGTAAAGGATTATGGACATCCCTTAACGATTGTGAGTGACAGAGATTCACGTTTCACGAGTGAACAATGGCAACAACTCATGAATGTCTATGGCTCTAAGTTAACTATGTCATCAGGTAGACACCCTGAGACAAACGGCCAGACTGAGCAAATGAATAAGATTTTGCAGCAGACATTGTGCATGTACATCCGTCCCGACCAGATTGACTGGGATGAACATTTGCCCAAAGTTGCTAGTGCCTATAATAACTTTGTTCACCTATCTACATGCAAAACCCCGATGGAACTGCATTTGGGATGGCGACCACGTAGACCCATTGATCGCTTAAAATTCGGATCAAGTACATAAGCTTCCTCTAGGGACAAGTGAGTTTGCGATACAGTATCAGCGAGATATTGAAAAGGCAAAAGAAAATATAATAAAGGCACAACACCAAATGGTGGAACACGCAAATAAGCATAGAAGACCATCTCAATTCGCTGTAGGTGATTTGGTGTGGGTTAAGTCTAAAGAGTTTGCTCCTGAGGAGAACATTTCTCAGAAGTTACTACCCACCTACAGAGGACCTTGGCAAATTCTTGATGTGATTGGAGAGGTAGATGGACCTTCTTATGTAGTTGAGATTCCTCTACATTTGCATACGTATCCGGTGTTTCACGCCTCAAAGCTTCTACCTTGCGTAACAAATGAATTGTTTCCCAATCGCAGATCAGCGATACCTCCTAGTATGAATGGGAAATATGATGTGGATAAGATTGTTGCTGAAAGCACTTTCCAAACCGGACGAAGAGGCAGGCCCCAGCGACAATATAAAGTAAGATTCGCCTATCACGACCCAAGTGAAGATCGCTGGTTTACAAGAGAAAATTTACTTGAAACTGGACCTCACATTGTATCTGCATATGGAAGAGCTAAAAGAGGAACAAGTATTATTGATAGATGAAGATTTTCTCAGAGGACTTCGAATCTAGGCCGGCAAGAGTAAAAGGGCCTTTACCCGATTCAACCCCTGATCGACGAAAGCAGCATATTGGGGTCCCTCGCCCAGAGCCCAATTCATGAAAGCAGATCAAAAGACATGTTCTCTGGGTCAAAGGTCACATCCTGGCTAAGGTAAAAACAATGTTGAAGGTCATGGTTGGGCCCAAGACCAAGACGAACAGTCACCATGTCTAGATTTGGAGGTCACATCTGTTCGCCAAGGGCAATACAAGTCATGTCTATTCAAACAAGGGACGTGTTTGTACGTGCAGTCAATGTGTCTGTTCGTACCGGAAGAGTGTCTGTTCGTGCATTGGGTGTGTCTGTCCAGCAGAAGTCAAAAAGAAAGTCTAGATTCAGATTGGGAATCAGAAAGAAAGTCTAGATTCAGATTGGGAATCAGAAATCAAGGCCTGAAGGCCACAGCAGCAGCAACCCTTGAGGGAAAGGGATCTGGGACACATACACAGAGGCTGGGACTAAGGACCGGGACAGACAGAATTCAGACCTCGCCAGGGGAGGCCAGCACTATAAGAATCGAGGCAGCCTCCCCCACAGACARATTTCCCTTGGCATTGATGCGTGGAAGTGCTGAGGCACTTGTGCGCTATAATGCAGGGAGTTGGGCGCTGAAGAAGGAGCTGCGCCAGAGAGGGAATGAGGCTGGGCGCTGGCTGCAGGGAAGCCATGGCTGCGCCAGCCTATGTTAGTGGTAGTAGGGATAGTCAGTAGTAGGATATCAGTGAGTGACATTCAAAGTAGATCTTCGTAGGTGAGAGTGTGCATGCATAGTGAGGGAAGAGAACCAAGACAGAGTTCTGGAGAGAGAGAGAGGAGATCAAGAGAGAGAAGACAGGGGATGAGCTTGGATATGGTGGACACTTACCTGTTGGCGCCACACTTGTGACCTGAAGGAGGACGCTGGCTGGGCCAGGTTCCTCGTTGTTGTATGACGAGGGAGACTTACCTCTTGTCGGTGCTGAACTCTGGAACTCATGATACTCTTTGTATTAAGTGACATTGATAATATAAGCTGCGCTACTTTGTTCTTATCTCATCTCAATCTGGTTTTGTGTGAGGCCACTCTGTACGTGTGATGACATGTATGCATGCGGTTTGATGCACTTGAGCAAGCTGTGAACAGTCAGGTTCCTTGCATTATTACCCATGCCCTATTTATTCCCTATGGGATACTGGAAGGACATGCTTGAATAAGCAAGAGCACTCGTATAAAGGTGGACTTCCTACTTAGATGCTTTCAAGATGGATTCCCTACTTAGACGCCCTAGTTATTATCCACTCCGCGCTTGACTACCCAGCGTCTACCGTTGCCACAATAACTGGTACATCAGCGGTACGTCCAGCCCGGTCCTCTCGTACTAGGGAATGGTCCTCTCAATGCTCTCACGACTATTTCCCACAGAACCCTTACAGCAATAAATGCAATTCGACAGAAGTCGTAAATACCACTGAACCGAGTCTCAGAAAAAAATGATTTCATATCCAGTTCAAATTTGGGATAACAAATCGTCAAAATTGTTGTATCTTCCCAAGGCTCAAGCCAATTTCGTAATGTTGGTTGCTACACTTTCCCTCTGCCAGAAGTGCCTACCAACATTCCTCTCCTTGCTGCTTCTTTGTTCTCTTCTCTCTTCATATCCTGCAGCAGCCTACAAATATTCCACAGATGTGGGAAGCACGCCACATTCGTGCTGTTGACCGCAAGCTGCCAACACCCCCATGTGCCAGAAAACCCCACTTGCACGCCGTGAAACAGAGGGGATAGTAGGGATACAGAGAGAGGGAAAATGGCAAGGAAGATAAACGAAGAGTAAGAAGTGTGGAATAAAGATGACAGCATAGGGAAGGCTTAGGAAAGAATTTCCTTGACGACAACGAGGACACAAACGATACGTAAGAGACGGGTGACGACATGGAAGACCTCCTCACGAATGCTGTGGTGGAAATTGCAATCTAAAAATGCAAAATGCAGGTCTCTGAGCACAAACCTTACAAGTCAGACTGAACCTGCATGTCAAGTACAGTCCTTATCTTACTTAGTCAAATAGGAGGGGGGTTTTGAGCTTACAAACAGGGAGTTTTATCAGTTATGACGGCTCCATTCCGTCCGTGGGGAGCAGCTGAGCATACCAACCTGAATATTGCCCCCATTGCCAAAGTTGCCGCTTGTGGGGGACCATACATCTCACGTTGATGCGTAGGTGAATACTGGCTGGGTGGTTGCTTGTCTTGGTCCTCGTCAACATAAATTGGTGATTGATTTAGCACATCCACAACATGCTCTAATAGCTCCAGACCGAGAACTTCATGAGCTGCCAGAGCCTAGGCAAACAGAACAGGCACAAATTCGATTAACAATACTGAGTAAATGATACCAAATCACTTTGACTACCCTGCGTGTCAAATCCTCCAAGCACCAGATGTCCAGCGCACACACACACACACACACACACACACACACACACACACACACACACACACACACACACACACACACACTGAGTAAATGACACCAAATCACTTTGACTACCGTGCATGTCAAATCCTCCAAGCACCAGATTTCCAGCGCGCACACACACACACACACACACACACACACACACACACACACACAGGGCTGATAAAATAGAATCAAAGGGCAAAGAACTGCAAGGAAAATGAGCGATAACGAACTTCAGAAATCAAACAGCATCATACACATGAGACCAGATAGTCGTGACCTCGAACCAATAGCAGAATTGCATCACGAGTTCCACCAAATAAGAACACAGCAAAAGCTCATAATTGACAATGCTGGAATAGTCTCATCATCATCAACGAAGAACCAATGTCGATATCCTATCTGGCGCTTGGCGCCCAGACTACAGATGGCAGATCCTATCTAGCCTAATCTACAGTGCCGCCGATGATGTCAACAGCTCCCCGAAGTACGAGCAGATCTCGGCCAATGCCGTACGCTTCAAGCACCAGGTGTGTCTCTCGTATCACTCACAACCTCGTTCCCCAACTCACAGATGCCACATGCACCCAAGGACCACCATGCGCCCCATCCAGCATACAGAAGCGCAGCTCGGCTATGGATGCCTGCTCCTCCCAGCTCGCCCGTGAGCGCGTGAGCGCTGGCCAGTTTTAGCGCAGCAGCGCTTGCGCAGCATGCAGCCAGTGCCCGAATGCCGAACGCGTGTGCAGGCCCTTTCCTAAATGGAAGTGGCCAGCCTGCCTTGCGTGCAGCCTGGCTGCGCTGGGCCCCTGCCCAGAAGCTTCCAGTAGGCCCAGAGAGGCTGAGCCCCAGACCAAACGGATCAGGCCCAAGGCCTGTGACAGTTACCTGTGCCCAACTGCCCGCAGCCTGAGTTGGGTCCATGCTGCGTATCTCGGCCAGGGCCTGACTCAGATGCATTTGATAAAGGAGGCCAGGGCCTGGGCGCTTTCAACCAACTGGCTCTAAGCAACTGCCTGAATTTCCCCCCCAGTTGCGAAGTAGTCCAAAATAGGCCTCTTGTCATCTGTCGAGCCTGCCTTCACTTGGGGGGGGCGACACTGTTGCAAATAGGGGCCCAGTAGGGCTTATCGAGGCCTTGTGCCTCGCAGAACAACAAGAAAAGAGGCAAAAAAGGAGAGAGAAATGTGCGGAGGGGAAACATGTGGCAGAGTGCAGTGGAAAGAGAATACAGCTGGACAAACAGGCACGAGTGTACACACACATGCCTAGACAGAGTGTTTGATGAACATGACAGGGGCAGGAGAGCAAGACGAACCACAATTGAATGTAGAAACAGTGGAATCATAATACAAGTGTACAGCCTCTTCTGACCCCTTGCTTAGGCAACAACCAGGGGGGCGAGAGAGCGAGGCCTCACGCGCGCGCGCGGGTGAGAGAGAGAGAGAGAGAGAGAGAGAGAGAGAGAGAGAGAGAGAGAGAGAGAGAGAGATGTGCATAGGGTTAGAAGCCAACGCACCCGAAAAGCATCCTCTACCAAGCCAGGATCACGCTTCTTTGAGCCCTCCTTCTTGCCTGGCCCGGCAGAAGGGTTCAATAGTTCGTCAAAGACCACCCTTGACTTGGCTTGCTCTGCCAGCTCACATACCTGTGCACAACGCAGCACATCAGATATATCACGACTGACATTTGCAATCATTGTCAAAAACGGTCTGCATTTGGTCACCACTTATGCAACATTTCAGTTATAACTTATAAGTCCCTCAGTTGATGCATTAGCAAATCAAGTGGTAGTTTTTTTCTGGATGCCGAGAGAGTGTAGCCCCTAACCTTATTGTATTCATCTGATTCCATCAAAAATCCAAACTCATGATCTGTTTATCTGTATTAAACCCCGCGCCACCCGGCAGCCCAGCCTTCGTCCGGCAGGGGTCCCGGGCGGCCCGGGCGGTTGGGTCCCCCGGTTTGGTGCCGGGCGGGCCCAGCGCATTTTTGCGCGCGGGGGGGGGGAGGCCATTTTCGAAGTGGTTTGGCCCGTGGGAAACTTCCCCGCCCCCGGGCACAATTTTTTTCGACGGGCGGCCTTGGAATTCGAACGCGCAGTTCGTCGAAGAGCTGCCCATTTTATTTTTTATTTTTTCGTTTACGTTGCCCGCCGTCGCTGCCCGCCGTTGAAGAGGTTCCCGTCGCTGCCCGCTGTTGAAGAGGTTCCCGTCGCTGCCCGCCGTCGCTGCCATCGCTGCCCGTCGTCGCTGCCCGCCGTCGGAAAGCTGCCCCGTCGTGATCGATACGGTCCCGCTGTGGTATCCGCCTCCACCTCCTTGCTTCCTCTTCTTCTTCTTCTTCCTCTCCTCCGACTCCACCTCCTTTCATCTTCTTCTTCTTCCTCTCCTCCTCCTTTCCTCCTCTTCTTCTTCTCCTCCTCCTTTCCTCCTCTTCTCCTTCTCCCCCTCCACCTCCTCCTCCTTTCGTCTTCTTCTCTCGTCGTCGTCCTCCTCCTCCTCGTCCTCCTTTTCTTTTTCTTCTCTCCTCCTTCCTTTTTCTTCTCTCCTCCTCCTCGTCCTCCCTCGTCTTTTTCTCTCCTCCTCCTTTCTCCTCCTCCTTTCTCCTCCTCCTTTCTCCTCCTCCTCCTCCCTGCTTCATTGGTTTTCTTTAGTAGGCGAAGTGCCACGTGTCGGGATTTCTCTCTCTCTCTCTCTCTCTCTCTCTCTCTCTCTCTCTCTCTCTCTCTCTCTCCTCCTCCTCCTTCGTCAGTTTTTCTTTTCTTTTTCGTCAACGCCATACGAAACCGGCAGGTCCTCCTCCTCCTCCTCCTCCCTTCGTCTTCTTCTCTCCTCCTCATCCACCTCCTCCTCCTCCTCCTCCCTATTTCATTGGTTTTCTTTATTGGGCGAAGTGCCACGTGTCAGAGTCTCTCTCTCTCTCTCTCTCTCTCTCTCTCTCTCTCTCTCTCTCCTGTCCTCCTTCCCC